ATATATACTGTCATCTACCATCATCTGCCATTGATCTATCTATGTCTTACAAGTAAATTGATGGGTCTTTTGTTTATTTATCACCAAGGACTGTGGGGACCATTTGTATTATGTAGTTTCCTACACTAAATTGTTTGTACCTATGGGAATCTGATCAGCATTGAAAACCAGATAGGGGCTGGGGATCTGAATATGATCAAAATGCATTGTGTGAAATTCTCAAAAATTTAATTTAAAAAATTCATAGCACACACAAAGCCAGAAAAAAAATCCAGAATAGAAGTGGGGAAGTAGCTCCAACCTTAGCTGAAGAACTCTTGGCAACTGATAGCTGCTGGGATTGGAACAGTCAGTTTTCTGTAAGGGTGTAATGCTGGGTAAGTTAACCAGGCTCCAGTGGATGGACCCACATCAAAAGGCATTTGCAGACACAAATTACACTTCATAAGCCTTAAAAATAAACACCACACACACATACACACACAAAGTATATGAAATTGGGTGGAGGAAATAAGGGGATGCAAATAGAATGGCCTTAATATGATTAAAATATATTGTATGAAATTCATAAAAATTAAATTTTAAAAGAGTTAAAATTTAAAAGTATTCCATCATATAACAGGAAAAGTGGATTATTTCCGAAGCTGTCAAATCTGTGTCAGAGGGGTCTTCATTTTCTGTATAAGATCAATAGCAAGTTTACCTGATTTATGGAACTAAAGGACCACTATTTTCCAAAAAAAGATGAAGTAAGAATGAGACTGAATCCTCAAAGCAAGAATTTCTTAAGTCTGTCTCAAATGAAGGCTGTTCTATTACAAACAGAAGCAGTCTCCTTTCATTTCCAGTTTCCCATACCTTGATTTACAGTTTTCAGAAGGAAGGGAGGCATCATATCACATACCTACAGACAGGAAGTAGACTAATCAGTATTCAGACCAAGCTTCACCAAAACTTTTTTTCTAGATTGTATACATCTGGTTCAAGCAGGTAATTTGAGCCAAATTAGTCTTGTTGCAGAAAAAAGAAAGTGCCAAAAGTAACATTTGCGTAATATAGAGAAACATAAAAGACATCTTTCAGTAGCCATAGGTAACCCAATTCTTGTCTGCATCCATTTCATCCAAATGTGTAACCCGGTGTGCAGTACAAACCAGGAATGGACTGAAAATCAACCCTGTATCTCCACAAACCTGTTCAGACCTTTAATAAGTTTGCTGAAAATGAATTTCATTATTCCTTCTATTTTGGAAATATCCTGTTGTTTTAATTTTTATATATAATTTGGGGTCCCCTTTTTTTTTTTTTTTTTTTTTTTTTTTTTTGTCTTTTTGAGACCTGGTCTCCCTGTAGCTCCAACTGCCTGGAACTCACTCTGTAGACCAGGCTGGCCTCGAAGTCACAGAGGATCTGCCTCATGAGTGCTGGGATTAAAGGTGTGCACCACCACACCCGG